CATGGCAGCACTTTAGAGCATCTTCTCATTTAGTCTTCACAGCAACCCCCAAGAGGGAGAGACTATTATTATTTTCATTTTACAGATGAGAAAACAGAGGCTTGGAAAGGTCCCTTGTGCAGGTTCACCCTGCTCAGAAAAGCAGAAGGAATAGCATGTGCAAAGACCCGGGGTGGGGAGGCAGCCTGGAGTTTCTAAAGCACGGATCGGATCTTGACTGTCCCTGTATTAGAACCCTTCTGTGGCTCCCTGGTGCCCTCTGGATGTAGTCCAAACGCCTTAGTTGATCATCCATCCATCCATCCACTCAACACACATCTACTGAGTCCCTCTGTGCCCAGCCCTGCGCTGGGTGGTGATGGGGGCACAGCAGTGAGTATGACAGCCCCAGCTCTGCCCTCATGGGATTCGCAGTCCAGTGGTGTAGACAGACCCACCCCCAAACAGTGATGACCCTGAATAGGCAGAGCTGGGATGTGGTAGCCCAGGAACCAGAGGAGTCCAGAGGGGACATTGAACCCAGGTCGGGGGGGGGGAGGGGTTCATGGAGGGCTGCCGGGAAGAGAGGACTTTGGAGCTGAGACCAGGAGAATGGGAGGACTGAGGCAGGAGAGAAGCGTCTAGCAGAGGGAATTGCATGTGCAAAGGCCCTGGCACTTAGAAATCTCATGGCTGAGAGATACCTCCCCCCGCTACACACATACATGAGGAGGAGGAGGTGCTGGGCGGAGGCAGGTGAGTTGGGCAGGGGTGATGAATTCAGGGCCATCAGGAAAGCCTGGGAGATGAGGGTGGAGGCCTGGACAGGGCTTAGGCATAGGATGGGCTCTGGAGGCCTGAGTCTAGGAAAGAGAGATCCCACATAGGACAGCGAGGGGACTCAGCCCTGCCATGGCTAAGTGTGGGGCAGGTGTGGCCTGGTCTGAGTGTCAGGTGACCTCTGGGGTCAGTAGCGACGGAGGGGGCTTCTCAGTGGATTCTTTTCTCCCTCTCCTTTCTCTCTTCCTTTTTCTTTCTCTCCACCCTCTCTTGTCTTTTTCTGTTTGTCTCTCTTCATCTCTCTCTCTCTCTGTTTTGTCTTTTTTTTTTAAAGATGACCAGTAAGGGGATCCTAACCCTTGGCTTGGCGTTGTCTGCACCACGCCCAGCCATTTGTCTTTTTCTGTTTGTCTCTCTTCATCTCTCTCTCTCTCTGTTTTGTCTTTTTTTTTTAAAAGATGACCAGTACGGGGATCCTAACCCTTGGCTTGGCGTTGTCTGCACCTGCTCAGCCAGCTGTCTGCACCACGCCCAGCCATTGAGCCACGGCCGGCCCTTCGTTCTGTCTTTGTGTGACTCATTCTTCCTCTCTCCACGTCTTCGCCTCTGAGTCTCTCAGTGTCTCACCCTCTGTCCTGCTCTGTTGTCCTGCTCCCGTTCTTCTGGATCTCTTCTATCTGTCCGCTCTCTCCCTCCACCGTTTCTCTTCTGACTCTCTGTCTCCCTCTTTCTCAGTCACCATCCTCCTCTCTCTCCCCCTCCCTGCCCCCCAACCTCTTCCTTCAGTCACTCTGTCTGCATCTCTCACTTTGAGGCTGCTGGGGGCTGCACAGAAGGTGAGGGGGCCAGACCCCCTCTCTGCTCCTGATGTGGCTTCTCCTGCCCTCTCCACAGACCCCAGCCACCACACTGTGACCACCAACCCCACGCCTGGTTCTGGTCCCTGCCTGGCCCTCTGGCCTCAGGACCCCACCTCCGAAGGCCCCTCCACTCAATGCCTACCTCCCTGGGGTCCTGCCGGGGCATGGAGGACCTGAGCAACCACTCGAGGGTCTCTCAAGGACACAGACAAGGCCTCCAGGTCCTGGGCCCCACCTCTGCCCTCACCTGGGCCTGGGTCTTCAGAAGATGGTGGCTGGGGGACCCACCTCCAGGACAGAGAAGGGATTCGGGGTGGGCTGAGGCCTTCAGGGAAAGAGGGTCACCCAGATCCAACATTTGGGGAGATCCTTCATCCTCCCACCCTTCGCCCCCTTTTGCTCCCCCCACCTCCCTTCTCTGACGTCTTCTACGTTTTTTTTTAATGATAAAGTCTTGAAAACACAGAGCCACCAGAGTTCTTGTGTCTCTTCCAAGATGTCCAATTCTCATTGATTTGAAGCTTATGAATCACTAAAAATAATAATAATTGATACTTAATGTCCTGCTCTCTCCTCGGGCACCCCAAAGATATCAGCTAGCTATTGCTGTGTAACAAAGTGCCCCAAAATGTTGTGTCTCCAAATGTCAACTATTTTTAAGCTCGTTATTCTGTGGGTTGGTATTTTGCACCTGGCTCAGCTGGGCCATTCTCATGGTCTTACCAGGGCCCTCTCAGGTGTCTGTGGTCAACTGCAGGTCATGGGGGGCCTCTTCTTCTGGAGTTCACTGGCTGGCAGCAGGGGCAACAGGCTCTGAAGGGCCATGTGGCCACTTTGTCACAGAGAGGCAGGGTTGGACTCCAGGAGTGCTCACACCTGGCCTGTCGTTACCTCTGCTGCAGTGTCTCGGCCACCGCAAGTCTCGAGGCCAGCCCAGCTTCAAGGAAAGAGAAATAGATGTCACCTCCTGTGGGAGAGAGAGGGATGGCGGCCTGAGGGCCAGGCCTCAGCATCCCTGTTTGCATCAGGAGGACTCTGAGGCTGCAGCATCTGAGACAATGAGAGGGGGCAGTGGTGCTTTGAGGTGGGATCCCAGGGGTGCTGCGTGGCCGCACATGCAGAATTGCGTCCTATGACCGCAGAGCTGCAGAGCTGGGATTTGAAACCGGGCAGGTTGGGCTGCATCCGGGTTCCTGGTCTGCCTGCCAGTCGGCCTGCCGGTCTTTTGGCCACACGTGAGTATTTCCATGGTTAGCTCTGGGTCACTGCGTTTCGGGAGCTTTGCCATGTGTGTCGACCTCTGCCGATACCCTGCAGGGGCCCCTCCTGGGTGTCGACCTCTGCCGATACCCTGCAGGGGCCCTGAGGGAGGTGATGCAGGGGGAAGGTGGAGAGAGGCCTTCCACAGCTCAGAGGTCACCTCTGCAGAGAAGCAGGGGCAGCCAAACCGAAGCACCATCTGCCCACCCCGCCCAGTCACCCTCTCGCCCCCCACTGCCCTCCCTGGAATCTGCCTGCTTCGTTACCCACAAGCAGGGCAGCTGCTGTCTTGCTCCATCACGCCTGAGGCCTCAGCCAGTGCCCAGCTCCCAGCAGGCACGCAGGAAGGAGGCGGGTGAAGCAATTTCGCTGTTCTACGTCCCCACCACCTTCCCCCACCCCGTTATTCGTGCGACAAGTATCTCCTGAGTATGTTCTCTCTGGCTCTCCTTGCACTGGGACAAAGACCCCTGCCCTCAGGAAACTCACGTTCCAGTCAGAGTGATCGACAGTGGAGCGAATAAATCGTTTAATCTCTTGGATGGTGACAAGTGTCATACGAAGTGGAGCAGGTGTGGGACAGGAGGGTGGGCTGCCACTTTTACGTGTTTATTGACTTAGTGCTTGCTGTGCCTCAGGCACTGTTCTAGGACCCCTACACCTTGGAACCTGTGAGACCCTTACACCAGCCCCGCAGGTGGGCACCACCGCTGTCCCCATTCCCAGATGAGGAAAGCCAGAGAGGTGGAGCTGCTCCCCCGAGGTCGCACAGCTGGAGACTGGAGCCCTACTCGATCCCAGGGACCCTGGCTCTGGGGCCTGCGCACTAACCAATCTGTCACAGCCTCTTGTTTTTAAAATATTATTCTCTAAGAATCTGTGATTTTTTTTTCTTTTCTTTTGTGGCTGGCCGGTGCGGGCATCTGAGCCCATGGCCTTGCAGCTATAAGGCTGCGCTCTAACGAACAGCTGACCAGCCAGCCCAGATGCTATGATTTCAAAAGGCCTACCACAAACTATTTTTCTGGGTGTGATATTGGTTTTTGTGGTCGTTGTTATTGTTTTTTCACTATGATTAGTGTTTATTTCTCCCCAAACTCCCCAGGACTACAGTGGGATGGGTGACAGACAGCAGGAAGGACTTCCAGCAGCCACCCCCTCCTGTGAAGGCAGGTGGGGGAAGAGCTGTGGAGGAGCGGCAGGGCCAGGACGGGGCTGGAGGTCTGCTTCAAGGGAGGCAGTTGCGTTCGTGCAACCCCTGCCTGGCATGGCGGGAGGGTCTCGGAGGCTGGCAGGCAGGGGAATGTGGGAATCTGGCGAGCGAAGGAGGGTCAGCTCCCCTCCCCCTCCCCCACCTACACCCGGGGACTAGAAATGCCTTTCACTTATCTTCTCTAATTAAACCAATTGGATGCGCCACCGGGGAGGAGGGAAATTGGGCAGGAGGTTAATTGTAACTAAAAATACCTCCCCCACTTCCTGCGGGGAGGAACCCTGAGTTCTGGGGTGGCCTGTGCAGCGGGTGGGCCTTGCTGAGCGGGAGGGGTCAAGGGAGGACGGGAGCGGGGGCCCCACTTGGTCTTCGGAGTGACCCCTGGGGAGGGGCGGGCAGGCTCCAGGGGTCTCGGGTTGGGTATGTGCGTCTATGACTGTTGTGTGTCTGCTGTGGCAACGGACTAAGATTGTTGGGTGGGCACGAGATCGTGTGGGAGGGCTGTGAAGTAACCAGAGCCACCCGCAGTGTG